GGAAAGAGGCTGGCTTATAGCCATAGGGATCATCTTATTCAGCAGACAAGTGAAAAACCTCCTTTGCAGAGGAGGCTTTGTGAACATGGGGGCTCAAATATCCTCACAGCCAGGCCCACCCTCAGATGTCTGACCCACAAGCATCGTTGTTACCAGTCCTCTAATCTCATTCCTTTCAAGTCCCTGATCATTGTGACAAGTAAATAACCATTGTCCACGGATGGGTATGGATTAGTACCTCTGGCCATCTCTCTTGCAACTCAAAGTAGAAAACCAGATGTCCACTCTAATGTTCTGCCCTCCAAAAGGATCTCCCTTCTTCACTGGGCTTCACAGCCACTCCTGCCTGGGGCTGAAATGCTGCCGCAGTATAATTCCAGTCGGTGCCCATACATCATGCGGAGCCATCTGCCACATTCGGATTTTTTCCTCTTCAGTTGACGTGTTGGAACTCCCATGAAGGCTGAGTGAGGGTTGAGGGAGAAATGATACTACATCAGGAGTAGACACACTGAGATGTGACCTGCGCTACTCCTTGATGAGAGTGTGCTGGTGCTGAGTACAGCTGATTAGGACGTTATGGCTTAGATAAAATCTGGCTCGTGAGGAAGCTCAGGTTACAGGGTCACTTGGTTTTCTTTTCTCAGGCTTCCAGGTAAATTGCATGCCCGGGCCTATTTCCCAGAAGAAGAATACTTAAGGGGATAAGAGGTTTGGGCTTGCTTAAAACCTTGGGAGACTATGCCTCAGCTGTCCTGTGAGGTGTTGCCGTAGTTGGCTCCTTAACACCATCCCTCAGACACTTTCAGCTCCATCAGATTGCTTGTTAAATGGGAGAAAATTATGTTTGCTTTAACTGCAATCCAAATGCCAGCTGTGCCGATCTGTTCCTGTAAGGAGACCACATTTGTTGAAGTTGCCACCCAGTTCAGTTTTAAAATAACGTCCTTTTTCTAAACTCCATCTATCTTTCTCTTCAGACCAAACAGGTGAGTTAAATGTGAAGATGACAGGAATTGCATGGTTGTTGGGCACGTGGGTCATAAACAGACCCCTAGCTGCACTGGGGTCTGGGAAGAACTGTTTTAACTCTAACCCCAGTGGTGCCTTAGGGCAAGCTGGGAGTCAGAGGGTGCTGAGTCACCTATCAGTAAAATCTGCCGCAACAGCTAAAAATCGAATGTTATCAGTCATTTTGTTTGATCTGCCCTGATTTGCATCTTGGAAGACTAACAGATCTCCCTTTACAGAGGGACATATTAAATATATTCTTTCATTGTGGGTCTCATAAGTAAAGGCTCATTTGGCCATTTTGAATAATTATGGAAAAGAGCAGACAAGCTTCCTATTTTTCTAATATGTACCACACTTGGCTATGTTCTTTTTCAGAGATTTAGGTTTTCATTTTATTTACAACAAAATAGATCAGAATAGAGCAGTTCTGGAAAGGATGAGAAATATTATACCAGAGACCAATGACCCCCAGTTGTAGGTGGCATCTTTGGAAGTTGAACTCAGTCCAGATTCTTTAAAATATCATTTCTAAAAATTGTACTTCCACCCCACCTATAGCCCGAGAAAAACTGAGTAAGTCATGAAATATTTTCAGTCGTAAGGTTTATAATTTTTAACAGAATGGGAGTTGAGAAATGGAATGTGTTGTATCAGCATCTCTAGCTGAATAGAACTTGTTTGGGGACCCTTTTGCTCAGAATTAATTTCAGTTTTTCAAACATTTCTTCTAGAATGCACCTTCCATGTGGATTATTACCTCCTTATTTTTTTTTTTTTTTTGGCCATATGTGGGCCTCTCACTGTCGTGGCCTTTCCCGTTGCCGGACGCGCAAGCTCAGCGGCCATGGCTCACGGGCCCAGCCGCTCCGCGGCATGTGGGATCCTCCCGGACCGGGGCACGAACCCGTATCCCCTGCATCGGCAGGCGGACTCTCAACCACTGCGCCACCAGGGAGGCCCTACCTCCTTATTTTTAAGAAGTGGTTTTAAAGGAAAAGAGTTTCTACGGTAGCTTGTTTTCATTATCATGTTAATTTTTTTTCAGCTCCCTTGGAAATCATTGACTAGCATCATTGAATATTATTACATGTGGAAAACTACTGACAGATATGTGCAGCAGGTAATTTTTTCATATTGCTACCAATACAATTGTATTAAAATGAACTTTCTATTTATACCTTAATATTTCTTAGCAATATGCTTAGTTTTAAATGTGTTTTGTTTGCTTTATCTTTTCTAGACCATTTTAAAGTACGTGATTTCATATCTTTAACATATCATTTTAAGATTTTAGTCTCGATATTTTCTTTACTTCAGATTCCATTATGATAAATATTTTGGACAGACAGCAGGGAAAGATACCAATAGAGGGGTATTATTTTCCTTGTAGGTGCCTGGTGCTTCATCTCTTTGTGAGTATAGTTGACAGGAATGACTTAAAATGTGTAAAAGATCTTCTGAACCCTCCTAGGCATTTTCGTGGTTATACCCCCTAAGTCTTTGACCTTAACTGTAGTAGTTAGTCTTTACTAGTTTGATACTTCGTACATAAGCACATAACTTTTTTTCCCAAAATTATCTCTAAAAACAGGGAATCACTTATTTTGTAAATTCTCCCCAAATGTCCCAAATTGAGGTAATTCTCTCAGTTACCCGTTTTGAGTAATACTACTTTTGGGGGAAAGGTACATTTTCCTCAAGTGACCTCAGTCAGTATATTATATTCTTCTAGTTAACATGTCAGAACTGGTAAAGGGGCAAGTATATTTAACAGAGACATTATTTTTCCTAAGTATATGATCACTCAGTGGCAAGTGTTAGATGCTGTAAAAATACAATTTAAAGATCACTTTGAAAATTACCATAGTGAGTTGTTGAGGTTGTGAATAGTGAATAGATACCCATGGCTTGTTGAAAACTTCACAGCATCACATCATATATAATTCAGAAAGTGCTCATTTCAAACTAGCATCCAAATCCAGGCAAGATGGTTCTTTAGGACATTAGTCTGCCATCTTCTCGCCTGTTGGCTTTCCTAATAAAGTTGTTCCCCCCCACCCCCACCCCCCAAATACTTACTTCAAACAACTTAGGTAGCATGAAGACCATGTGCTCTGGAAAACCTGTGTTATTCAAAGTGAAAAGAGTCCCTAAAGATAAAGATGGTGGTGATGATGGCATCAAGGATGGTTGAAAGTGTTTGGATAAAAATTATTTCAAAAAATTTGGACTCCTTCTTTAAAAGTTTTAAGTTGTCTCCTTAAATGTTTTTGTTTCCTTCTCATTGAGCAAATGGAGGGTTGTCTTATATTCTGATTTGTCTTCATTTTGAGTATCTACCATACATAATTTTCCTTCCCTATTTGCATTTATTATTGTGTTGATCACTCTCTGGATGTGATTTTATAATCTTTTCCCCACTCCTTTCCCTGCATTTGGCTCCTAATTGGTTCCTAAAAATCTGACATGAGTTCAGCCAAGCTTTAAAGTTTACTGCATGTCTCCCAACATTTGAGGGTACATGCTTATTTAATTGGACTTAGATTAGTTACTGTCTCCTTCTCTTTCATGGACTTTGGAAACTAATCATCTCTGAATAATTTTCTAAAAGCAAAGGTTATGTATTTTTTTTTTCCCTCTGAGAAAGGCAAAAAAGAAATAAATAGAAACTGTGAAAAGTAAAAATGGTTACTTATAAGTCCTGTTTATCTACTCATGGAGGAATAGGAAACAGTTCATTGCTTTATTTTTAAAATCTGTGTCTAAAATGTTTTTAATACTTGTAGTTCTGTACCTCAGAATCTAGTGATTTTTTTCTTACAAATCATTGCAGTTTACGTGCATGAAAGAAAAGCTCATCTTAAAAAGGCAATTTTTGAAGTATACTTTAATGTTTTATTTTCCTGTGAATTTTTTAAGGCAGATGAAGTGGTAATAATTATTCGACATCGTGTGTAAAATATTTTATCTATCTTTTGAATTAGAAACGTCTAAAAGCAGCAGAAGCTGAGAGTAAGCTGAAACAAGTGTATATCCCAACTTAGTAAGTAATGGAAATCTTTTAAAATATTTGCCATGGTATTAATTCTCTTCAAAACAAAATATGTACATTTTGGTCAGTTTCAGCCAAATTTGAATTTCTTTATGTATCTTATTTTCTTCCACTACAAAGCACTGTTTGCTTTCCATTTTAGTGCCACTTAAATGACCTTTTTTAGAAAGAAAAATGGCTGGTGGGCGAAACTCCAAGTCAGCTAACAAAAGGACCAGAGGAAACATGCCATCAAAGCTTCAGGGAGGATTTCCCTGGTGGTCCAGTGGTTAACACTCCACGCTTCCACAGCACGGGGGTGCATGTTCGATCCCTAGTCGGGAATTAAGATCCCACATGCCACGCAGCGGGGAAAAAAAAAAAAAAAAAAAAAGAAAAAATTAAATAAATAAAAAGCTTCAGGGAAAGTGTTAGAAAACTAAACTATGAAAATATTATTTGAAGCAAATGTGTTTCAGAAAGCTAGCAACTTTTGAAACTTCTGTATTGTTTAATGTATTTTGTTTGGGTAATGTGCGTTGCCCTTTTGAGGTATGTTGTTTATTTGGTTGAGAATTTTACATTGTTTCCTTGGGGAAAGGGTTAGGGGACGTAATTAGAACCAAACTTTGTAAATTATTGGATAAATAATGAATAGGTTTCAGTTGTTTCAGATGCCTAGCATTCTATCATTATTGTCCTTTTGGTTTAGAAATCATTGTCATATCAAAATGAATGCCAATTTTCTTTTCATTTGCTACATTTTAAATGAATTATCTTTTTTTGAGGTCATGAGTTTGACAGTTCATTTGTTCAGGAAAATTTATTGAGCACCATGTATATAGTGCTATCCTGGGTTCTTTGGGGATTAAAATGAAATTTACTACAGCGTTCTGTGTACTGATTCAAACTTTTTCACTCTTTGAGCTCAGTACAGTTGTTTTATACCTCGCCTTTTATTTACTGAATTTTGATATATTAATACATATTTTTATATACAGGAGGCCTCATAGACACTGAATTGTTATATTTCTTATTAATCTTTTATCTCAAGATAGATAACATGTAATTTACAGGGTCCATAATTTTTATTCAGAGCTGTAATGTCCTTCCTGAAGAGTGGTTTCTAACATTATAGAAAATTATATGTTTTATTTGACTAATCTATAAAAGAACAACTCCCCAAAGAAAACACTGCTGTGATTCATGTGTCTTAGAGTTTCAAAAACAAGCATACCAGCTTTCTTATACTCTGCAGTGCTGTCACATCAAAGGAAAAGTACATTAAGCCAGTTTTCAGCAAATAACCCAGATAATTGTTGCTATTCTGTTTTGCATTGACTTTGGAGTCTTGATCTAAGCCTTGATCTAAGTCAAAGACTAAGTCAAAGACCAGTATGTGGGCCAAATCTGACCTGCCACCAGTTTTTGTAAATGAAGTGTTATGGAATACAGCCATGTTCGTTCATTTATGTATTGTCTCTGTCTGCTTTTGTGCTACAATGGCAGTGCTCAATGGTTGCGACAGAAATTATAATACCCACGAAGCTTAAAACATTTACTCTGCCAATCCCTGATCCAAGTGAATGACTTTTGAAGATCAAGACAGAGTTTCTAATCATACTTTTAAAAAATGTTATATATAAATCATGTATATAAATAGAATATATGAATTCTATTTATTATGAATTTATTATTCATAATAAATTCTGTTATGAATCTGTACTGTTGAGTTGGATAAGAATCTGAGTGCTTTGAAGAATTTCCCAACTAACTCTGAAATATTATTTTAAAACAAATAATAGATTAAGTTATTTGGGGGGAGGGGATGCCATGCTACATGGCTTGTGGGATCTTAGTTCCCTGACCAGGGATCAAATCCAGGCCCATGGCAGTGAAAGCACCAAGTCCTAACCACTGGACCACCAGCGAATCCCCAAGAATTATTTTATACTGTCATTCTTTTGAGACTGGCGGTCTCCTATATATATGCAAAGCACTCTGTTCACTACTAGAGGTAGATCAGTTAAGAAGACACGTTGTCTTCTGGAGCCTACATTCTATTGTGGGGGCGACAGATGCCAAACAGCTAGTCACCCAGTGTGTTGAGTATTCTGATGATGAAGAAGAGATGGTGTGACAGTTTGTTCTGGGGACCACACTCAGTTGATGCTGTCAGAAAAGATTCCTTGTGGAGGTGAGTTTGAGTGAACTGTAGAGGAGGGATCATTCAGGTGACGGAGGCTTTCCAGGCCAATGGGATTGTGAGATGGAAAGGGGCAGAACAGAGTTACAGAGGTGAGAGAAGGGCACTGTGGCTGGTATGAAGAGAGTGGTGAGCCATGGGAGGCCAGGAGTTAGCCATCTGATAAACAGTGGAATTGGATTGTAAACAAGTTAAGTATCATGATGAAATTTCTACGTACTTTAAGATTACTGGCTACATTTTGGAAAATGGTATGGGGAAACGGGAGTGGATGTAAGAACACCAAGTATGAAAGTTCTTGGAGAAGAAAGATGATAGTAGCTTGACCTAGAGCTGTGGCCTGGAAATGGTATGCTACTTAGAGGTGATTGACTTGTATGGAGAGATAGAGGGGAGATGTCAAGCTGAGTCCCAGGTTTCTGGCTAGCTCAGTTAACTAGGTGGATTGCTGTGATGAGAAACGGTGGCAGAGAACCACGTTGGGTCATTTTGAGTTTGTTTTCTCCAAAAAGAGGTGTTGAATATGCTGTCAGATATATTGGTCTTAAACTCAGGAGAAAGTTCTGGGCTAGAGGTCCATATTTGAGCTTCATCAGCATATAATATTGTGCTTGAAACTATGGATGAGATTTCTTAGAGTAATAAGAAAAAAGAGCCTTGGACCGAACTTGAGGAAATCTGTTCAATATATCAGATAGAGTATGATAGCTGAAAAAGGATAGCCAGGTGAGTGCATTATCACACAACCTGAGATAGGAGTGTCTTTCAAGGAGGGAAAGA